GACAGTCATCATATTTCGTCTGCTAATTTCTTTAAATTATATGAAAGCCTCCTATCAATCTTGTTAATGATTCTCTTTATATGGGTTTGTCCTTGTAAAGCAAACTTTCTTTAGGACTCTTAATTTATTCATATGTTTTGTTCTGTCTATTTGTTCTGATTTGGAGAGTTGTTCTTCGCTGCTAATATAAGACAGTTGCCTGGCTTTCTATGACTTTACTGTCTACTACTTTTGGTTTTTTTTGGTCTTCTCTTTGCTGCCATCATTCAATAATTTTAAATGTCCCAATCACTGTATTATGTCAATCTATTGTGGAAGTGTCATTATTAATAAATTCCCGTAAGTTCTATAAACTTTTGGATTGATTCTTCTTCACCAGACAATATTTTCCTCCATAAGTTTGTCTTATTACTAAATTTTTTTATAGCTACCAGTTATTATTTTTTGTTTTGTTTAAAAAATCACAATTTAATCAATTCAAAGCCCAAGAAGAACTGGTCTTATTATTCTACTATCCAAACTAACTTGTTCAATTATTTCTTTTCAATTTTTTTCTATTTCTAGTATATTCAGTGTCTTGTAATATACGAATCGCCATAGTGTCCTGCAGGATTTCACTAAATTAAAGCGAATGTTTACACATGAAGTATTTACTCACTTTAAGTATTTACACTGTCACACATGTTTCTATCTGTACTACTACTACTCCGTAGCGTTACAACCCTTCGTGGGTTTTAGCCGACTCGACAACATGCCTCCACTGTTTTCTGTTTTGAGCAACCTCCATCCAATTCTCTACGCCCATAGTGCTTAGGTCTCCTGCTATATTATCTCGCCACCGGAGACGAGGGCGTCCGCGTGGTCTCCTACAGTTGGGATTTCCTCCCACACCAGTCTTACTGTCCGTTTGTCAGAATGTCTTCTGAGGTGTCCTGCCCATTGGAGTCTTCTGAACTTTATTTCTTTTATGATGTTGGCGTCTGGGTAAAGTTCTTCGAGCTCTTTGTTAGTTCTTATCCTATATTGTCCTGATGCTTCATCCAGCACAGGGCCAAAGGTCTTCCTTAGGATTTTTCTTTCCCAAACACAGTCGCTCTTCGTTTGCCTTTGTTATCGTCCACGTTTCGCTTCCATACATCACAACAGGCGTATTATTGTTTTATAGACCTGTATCTTCATACGTCTTGTTAGTTATTTCGATTTTATAAGGTTTTGGAGTATAAAAAGACATCTTTGCTGGCCTGAATCGTGTTGTTTATTTCTTGTAATCCGTTATTGTCTTTAGTTATTGTTGTTCCAAGATACTTGAATTCTCTAACGCGCTCAAAGTTAAAGAAATCATACATATATTTCGTCTTATTTTCGTTGATTTGGAGCCCCATCTTTTCTGCTTCCTTCTCGAAAGTCTCCTTCATCCTTAATCGTGTGTTTCCTATTAGATCGATATCGTCTGCAAATGCCAGTAGTAAGTTTGGTCCTTCTCGATGAAATACTGTATTCGGTTTTTCGATTCTTGCACTTCTGATTATGTGCTCCAGAGCTAAGTTGAAGAGTTGTGGTAAAAGTGCATCTCCCTGTTTTAGTCCATTGTTTATTTCAAATGTCTCCGAGTACTGTTGTCCAACTCTCACGTTACACCGTAACCGTTCCATACACATCCATATCAACCTGACTAGTTTTTTTGGAAAGCCAAGTTCCTGCATCACTGTCCACAGTCTGGCCCCGCATACTCTATCAAATGCTTATTTAAAATCTATGAACATCTGATGAAGCTCACGATCAAGCTCCCAGCATTTATCGTTATCTGTTTTATTTATTTTATCTTTTTTATCTGTTTTATCTGTTTCTATCTATACTTAATGTAAAATCTCAACCTTTATTCCGAATCACCTACTTCTTCTTCTTCTTCAAGTGCCCTGTCCGTTGCGAACGTTGGCTATTAACATGACAATTTTGATCTTGTTTTGCGGCGCTTCTGAATAGTTCGACCGATGTGAGCCCGAACCACTTTCGCAGATTTTGGAACCACGAGTGTCTTCTCCTGCCTGGCCCTCGCTTACTGTCTATTTTTCCCTGGACAATCAATTGTAGTAGACGGTACTTATCGTGTCTCAATATGTGGCCTAGATATTCAAGCTTTCTTTGTTTAATTGTATTCACGATTTCTTTCTCCTTTCCGATTCTTTGGAGTACCTCTATGTTCTATGTTGGTGACATGTTCGGTCCAGGATATACGAAGAATGCGTCGGTACACCCACATTTCGAATGCTTCTAGTTTTCTCGTTAGCGTCTCCGTCAGCGTCCAGGCCTCCACGCCATACAGCAAGATCGGAAAAATGTAGCATTTAACTATACGTAGTTTTAGGGGAAGAGACAAATCCTTGCTTATGAGGAGCTTTTTCATATTGCCAAATTCTGCTCTAGCTCGTTCTATTCTCGCCTTAATTTCTATGGTCTGTTCCCATTTTCATTTACGTTGGTGCCAAGGTACACATAAGATTCTACATGGTCAATTAATATGTTACTTATCCGTAATTGTCGAGCAGGTTGTTGCTTTTTGCTTATCAGCATCCACTTTGTTAAATATTTCCTCGGAATACATATTGAATAGGAGTGGGGATAATATACACCCCTGACGGACACCTCTTTTGATCTGCACGCTTTCAGTGAGTTCGTTGCCAATTTTTGCTCTTGCTGTTTGACCCCAGTATAGGTTTGCCACAATTCGAATGTCCTTGTCATCAATACCTGTCTTTCGCAGAATACCTATCAATTGTTCATGATTGACATTGTCAAATGCTTTTCTAAAATCTAAAAAGCACAGATACACGTCTTTATCAACGTCTCTACACCGTTGTATAAGCACCTGGAGAGCGAAAATTGCTTCTCTAGTTCCAAGTGCTTTCCGAAAACCAAACTGCGATCTATCAATATTTGACTCACATTTATCATATATTCTTCTGTGAATGATCTTAGTGAACGCTTTAGTGACATGATTGATCAAGCTTATAAGCCGGTAGTCATCACAAATCTGGGCATTTGGTTTCTTCGGGATTGTAATAAATGTTGACTGCAGCCAGTTCTCCGGGATTTTACCGCTATTATATATGTTGTTAAAAAGTACAACTAGATTATCAAGGAACTGTTTGTCTGATTTACATAGGATCTTTAATATTTCGCAGGGTGCTGCTTATTGTTTTTTAGTGCTGCAATGGCATCTTCTATCTCCGATTTAAGGATTGAAGGTCCTGTTTCTCCTTCTCCATATAGGTGATCATCAGTCCTGTTGTATGCAAATAATTTTTCTATGTATGATTTCCATGTTTTTAAGATCGTTGATGGCTCCGAGATAAGATTTACATCGCTATCTTTTATGCTGTTGGGTGACTTATTGAATTTTCTCTTGTTTGTCATCGATTTTATTTTTTTTGTGCATATTGTAACTGTCATATTTTCGTTCGTATTGTTCTATTTCCCTGCATTCGTTGGAAAACCATTTTTCTTTGGCTTCTCGAATTTTCGTTCTTATGGTTTTGTGGATCTGCTGGTATTTTTCTGCATTTTTATTCTTGAATCACCTACTAGAACTTTTTATATTACTAATTAAAGTTTCCAATAATTTACTCATAAGTTCGCACCCAAACGCCACAGCGCCATCTGTAGGATAACAGCGTAATCAGTAACTCGTAAACTAAGAAAGCGATCTTGTAATTTGGAAAACTTGTATTTCGAGCATTCTAACCGAGAATTTGGGAATGAAAATTAATGACGACAGGCCAGAAAAAGATTCGCTTGGAAGCCGATCTGGACAAATTATGATGAAAATATACTTAAAACAATTATTACCGGTTCGGTAATCCGGTATCGGTTTATTATCACGATCCCGCAAGAAAACAGTTTTTACAATGGAAACTTCTATCTTGGTGTCAATTTTGATGGTTTTTTCACTCTAAAAGTTTTGTGTATCCTGGATAAGTTCCAAAAAGAGAGACAATCAATAAAGAATATAACTTTCAAATTTTAAAAATGATTACATTATTTAATTAAAAGAAATAATCCCCATTTTTGGACTGGCAGCGACTGCATTCTTTGTCACGGGTTTTAACAAAACACTAGAACTGTGCCAGTTTCCCATACAGTTCCGACATAACACCTACTCTTTTTCGTGTTTCTAAACTGAAAATGTCTCTTAAAGAGCGAAGGCGAACATGGCAATATAGGTCAGTATAAAAACTGAATTTCAAAAGTGCTTTAGTAACTTTAGTGGTTCCGGCGAGTATTTCTGGAAGCGTGGAATGGTGGTTTCTTCTCCTTATCTTGGACGCATACCAAGAGCTGGATGATGAAGAAAAAAGCATTGCGAAATTATGGATGAACTTTTCGAAGCTACCACAGATAAACAAAAATGTTCGGGTTCTACACATGTAAACAATAATAGTTCAATAGATTAGCAAAAAATAAATTAACAATTCACATAATGTATTATATCAAGTGTCTCATAGGGATACCACAACACTGATATATTCTTTTCAAAAACCGCCTGGTACTTTTTCTTCCAGTATCCTATATTAGTAGAATCCAATAGGAATTATGAATTATTTCGAAAACGTTTCGTTATATAGACAAATCGTCTTCAATATCCTTGGGCTCCTTTTATACCCTAGTATCATGTGTTTACAAGTCGATAAACGTACGTATATATCTTGTATATACGAGTTCTATACATTTTTTACGCATTGTTATGTCATCATCTAATTTTAAATAGTCCGATTCTGTTTCTCTTTGAACACATTAATATACCGTGTGTTTTTCGTTCCAGATGAACTCTCTGCGCCATCGTTGTCATCGTCAAGAACACACGCAGAGGAAAAAGCAGAGCACCAAATACAACGACTGTGAGTGACCTCGACGGCCACGGAGAGGACGTCGAAGAGGCCGACGTGGTGGAGGAGCACTAGGTGAAAGAGACGGGTCGGCTGCACAGCGACAAGATCTTCACCATGGGCAATTGTTGCTGCTGCCGTAGCCGGGCTTTGCCTCCGGCTAAGCAAAAAGGCATGGAGGCAGATTTAGGTAAATTTTTTACGATTCAGTTAGCGCGCAATATACTATATATTATAATTTTTAATTTTGTAGTAGCACATTTAGGTGGAGATATAAAATATGAGAATAATCATAAAAATACAATTTTTTTTTCACGTGTATTATTAAATCGGGTTTAAGCCAAAACGTATACTACTTTTCCGTATAATTAAAACAACTTTAATATGTAAAGTTTATTTTCGCTGAAGATTGTGTTCCTTTTACTCTCGTATTAAAGCGAGCTCTGTGCACTGAATTTATCTAAACCGCAGTAGGTAAGAAGATAATAAAATCCTAAAGTTTTAAGGTGAATACTCAGTTGCTCAGAATAAACGAAGCACGTGCTGAGACTTCAACTTGTATAAATCAAGAAATGAAAAGATTAACGTTAGCAATGAAGAAATAAATATACCGAACGAAACTCTATAAAGGAAAGAAGAAAGCCGCAAACCTTGGATGACTCAAGAAATACTGGAAATAATGGACAAAGAAGAAAATATAAAATCAAATGTTCAGGTAAATACATAAATTAATAAGGAACGAAATAAAAGAGGTGAAGGAGAAGTGAATTATGGAAACATGAATTGAGATAAAGGAATTACAGAAAATTCAAGATTATTACAACTTACATAAAAAAGTACGAGAATTATGTGGAAAATCAGGAACAAAACATACTAACAATCCAGACTGAACAAAACAAGTATGGACTAAATATTATATTGAAGATTTTTCTGCATAATTTAAGCCAATTGCTATGCTCTTTAACAATATATACAAATGTGGTGAGATACCTACATACAGAATGGCTACTATAGAACTTTGTTCCACTTCCAAAAACCAAGAACACTAATGACAATAGATTGATCAGATTTATAGCACAATTATTGAAAAAAAAAATAAGGTTATGAATACAAGAATATTAAGAAAGTGGAAAGCGGATATGAGTAATAGACAGTTGGATTTTTATAATAGCTTCGGAAGAAGAGAAGTTGTATATAGTTTCACAACTTTTGCTCGAAAATGACGAAATCAACAAAAACATCTTTACGTCGCTTTTATAGACTATGAGAAAGCTTTCGACAAAGTTAAGCATACCATTCTCATAGAATATATAAATGTATCAGGGATACAAAAATCATAACGGAAAGGAAAACTGATATTAAGATAATAGTGATAAATCCCTATTAAAACCAACAAGCTGTGGTACAGTGCTACCATCTTTCTAAGAGATTGATTAATATTCAGCAGGGTGCTCTTGTTTGAGGTGTGAAATTACATAAACAAGATATCATTTGATAAAACAGGTAGATCCCCTGTTTAGGGAATTTCACACATCGAACATACCACTCCGCTGAGCTAAATATTAATGGCTAGCTGAATATTAATAGAAAGACGGTAGTACTAGAACCGTTGAAAAAGATTGATACCAAAAAATTAGAGGCATTTGAACTGTGGATGTATCGCAGAATCTTGAGAATATCATGGACCGAGAGAGTCACAAATGTCGAGGTCTTGAGAAGAATGAATAAAGAAAAGGAATTCATATTTACGATCAAAAAACGAAAACTGCAATACTTGGGACACATTACAAGAGGCGAAAGATATGAACTGCTTCGAATAATTATGCAGGGGAAAATAACAGGAAAAAGGTCCATAGGAAGAAGACAAAACTCCTGGCTAAAGAATCTACGGGAATGGTATAGCTGTAGCAACAACGAACTGTTTCGGTTAGCAGTTTCGAAAATACGTATAGCACTGATGATCGCCAACCTTCGGAATGAAGATGGCGCTTAAAGAAGAAGAAGTACTAGAGCATTATATGAAGATAGCACGGATGCCCAATAGATAAGCAGACGAGTGAGACAAGGCAGTGCAATTTTCCAATTACTATTTAATTTATACTCCGAATATTTACCCAAGCACTGGAAAACTTACAGGAGGTATCAAGAAAAATGGTGAAACTATAAATAATATTCGTTATGTTGACGATATAGTCATTATCGCTGAACATGAGAAATACCTACTAATGTTACTAAACAGAATTTGCGAAATTAAAGAACAGTTGACTTAAATAGATCTGAAAAGGTCGCAATGGAATAGGCCAAATGCTAGCTCATGAAATCTAGAGTACACTTTGGTTGAACAATAAACATATTATATAAAACACAAACAGTGGTTATCAGTTAGAGGGGTAAAGTCATAACAAAGATCCAGATTAAAAATTAATACATTAAACAAGTGCACAAAATGAAATAATCAGTCTAAATTACAGAAAATCTAAATTTGGAATCAGAAATTCGATCGAGGACCGAGCATCAAGTGCAGTCTTTTTTGTGAGTAATCAATGACTCAATCTGCAAATCCGATATCGTATGGTAAAATGTTATATTTACTCTATTCGTCTTACTGTTAATAATTACTTAACAATAAAGCTGGAAGCTTTTGACATGTGGCTTGTGAGGACACTTTTAACATTACCATGGAAAGATCATAATACAAACGAAATGGTGCTGTACAGAATGGGAAGAGACAGAACTTTTGATCTCAATTAAAAGTAGAAAGATAGCATATTTGGGACACATATTTAGGAATGATAAGTACAAGTTTTTGCAACTGATTATGAAGTGAAAAATTAAAGGAAAACCTGGTTTTGGTATACGACAAATATCGTTGCTGAAAAACATTAGCGACTAAATCGGGTTAAATACACAATACGCTTAAGAAAAGCCGAAGATAGGGATGAGTTTGCAATGTTTATAGCCAACCTTCATTAGTGGAGTCGGTACTAGAAGCAGAACATCATGAAGATACAGTAATTGTAGACTTATTCCCTTTCAGTCACCTTACTTGGTCCCGATATTTTAGTAGCAATATAATCTCAGTTTGTTCACTGAAGAAATCTAGCTTCATATATTTAAGTTTATATTATTATATGATGAGAATTCCACGATCTCGCTACAGATAATCATTTTTCACGGACTATAGAATATTTGCTACTCATCGAAACAATTAACCAGATCAAGGTTAGGTTATTTGCCTACTTCTAATAAAAGCATCTCTTAAGGTCCTCGCAGGTATTAGAAACTAAGTATTAATATTAGAAATTATACTCCCTTTAAGTTAAGACTAAACTATTTTTCCTTCTTTCCACAACTGATATCAAGTTCATATTGATATCCTTTTTACTTTTCTCCCTCAATTTATATTATATTTGTACTATCGAACAAGTATCATACTTTGTCTACTAAGTATATATTTTTTTAATCCGTCGTTTGTTGTTGGAAATTCTTTCCAACTTCTGTAACTGTGAATTTTGCAACAATGACATTTTATGCGATAAGTTCCCTTTGTTTCTTTTCGTCCAACTCTCTATAATCAATCGGGGATTTGGATTGGCACCGACAGTTACTGAGCTACTTGCTCCAGTCAGCAGTTATCATAGACTCCAAACATTACAATCAGAGATTGCGACCAGCAAAGCAACAACAGAAACACAGGTCAAAACTTTATCGTGGAGAATTACAATTTTAATGTCAGAAATAAGTTGAAATAACTAGGTTCCTCAAAACGGTTAATAAATCGACAAGGGTCGAAGTAAAATGGGAAGCGAACATGTTTTACTTTATATTAGGTAAACATCAAAAGGACAGTAATCCATCCAAAAAACTAAACTAACAATATATGGCATTTATTCTATCAGTGCTGATTCAAACCATCCATTCATTTTCGAATAAAAGATCTTAAGCGGAATACTTATGATCTGTGAAAACGACATCTGTAGGAGATATAACTGTGAGATCTATAAGAAATAGCAATGGGTGAGCGAGCAGTATCTTAACACAACTATAAATAAAGAGAATTAATTACCGTCCCACATGCCTATATGAAATAGAAGTAGGAGCATTCTAATTCTGCGATACAAGTGTAGACTTGGTTGCGGAAAGATTGGCACGGCAAATCGCTTAGCCATGGACAGGACCGACTGACGATGATGATATAAACTAGAGAAGGTCGAGGCTCAGCGAGAGCTCTAGTACCACTGACGATTATGTATCTTTTTAAACAAAACAAAAACAAGTAATATGCCTCTATGTAGGTGTTTGCATCCGAAATTTTTGGATTACAAGATCGGAATATTAATAACAGATAAAGTAAATTTTGGGAAAGTCTTTTTTAGCTCGATACACTTGACCCAGTGATGCTCCCAACTTCTTTAACCCGTCTGAAAAATACGTTTTCACGGAGGTCTGCTAAAGTAGGCCTCCGTGGCAACGATCACCTTCTTATTCGACTCAAATTTCTGCCTGGCTTTTTAAAGTTTGGATCCAAAAAGAAGGGGTCAAATCTGGCGAATGCGGTGGATGGAGCCGTAGTTCTTATCCTAATTCGCCCAATTTGGCCGTGGCGACGACGTAACTACGAGCTGATACGCTGTTATGGAAGAGTACTTTTTTTGCAATTCATTCGCGTAACTCTTATTTAATTAACAGCTAAAGAAACTAACTTTATTTAAGTTGATACAAATTATATTTAAAAAGTTTATGTCTCGCGGGAACTGACATTTAAAATAGCTGGTCGCTTGATATCAGCCGTTCGCTTCTGAGAGAACAATAATTCATTCTACACAAAAAGTGCTAATAAAAATTTTTGTTCAAAATTATCTCAACTACATTTCTTATTTGAAGGATTTTTTCTACAGCCTACAGATTATTGATAAATCGATGTTTTCCGTTTCACCCTCCCCCTAGCATTGTGGATTCAGTGCGAAACCCGGGTGTGAGTGACAAACTTTTTTGCATCTATTTTGGGATCCCAAAATTGACAATATCTGCAAAATTCAGCTTGTTCTTAGCATTTTTAGAGGTTCGGTGTCAATTTCGTCCCTGATGACTGGAATAACATTATAATAGGTTATTTATGGCATTCATAAACACTCATTCGTGTATAGTTTGAGACAATTACTCGGTCGATTCTTATACAATCTCTACAAT